GGTACCAAAAATAAATAAATAAATAAATAAATAAATAAATAAATAAAACCATATTGAAGAGCCATATGTTTATACATTATATATTTACAGAGTAAAACTAGAGAAGCTATGGTAAATTGAGGAGGTAAATTTCTACTCAGAGTACAAAAGAGCAAAATGGAAGAGTTCTGCTTTCTAGAGGCAATCTCCTGACCTTTACAGTGGAAATGTAGAAAGATTTGTTCACTAAGTTGTTGGATGATATGGCACTTCTATATATGGTATTTTTCATTTCATAAAATTGGGCAATTTGAGAACTCAGAGGCAAAAGAAAGTCAAAATTTCAATTGCAAACTATTAAAAAAGCAATAATACACTGCCTGTAGATGTTTATGGAATTCTGTCAAAGCTGTACTCAGAGGAAAATTTATTGTCTTAAACTATTTTCTACTACATTTTCAGTAGCAGACTAGAAAGAATAAGAATTAACTAGGCTATGACTCAAGAATATTCAAGAAACAAAAAATCAAAGCATAGGAAGTTTGGGGACAAACATACATACAAACACATACTTGAAAATATGCTCTATATAATTGGAAGAATTATTTTGAATCATTTGACTAAGTCTAACAAAATAGTACAATATTTGATGGGGAAACATTTTTAAATCTTAAGATGTAAAGATTATCCAAGTAAGTGGAAATTTAAGCCGTGTTATCCATAGGAAGGCACCGTAGAGGACAGTTCTCCCCAGCTGACGTGTGGGTTGGGAGGAATGCCAACAGGATTGCTTTGCAGGTCCCTTCCAAGGGAGCAGTGCTGGGATCATCTGGTGTCTGTGTAGGCCAAGTTCACGTTATCGCAGATGGAAGCTGCAGGCCCAGCTGTTGTAAATGTTTTCCACCATATCCTTTGTCTCCTCGACAGGCGGTTGTGATCCCTGGGTACACTGTGGCTCAGCAGGATGCTCCGGGCTCACCTTGTGGTTGCCTGGCCCAGTCCTGGAACCAGCCCTGGGTCCTTGTCGTGGAGAATGGTGGCTTCCTCATGGCCTCACTTCCTCTTTGTTTTTTTGAGATGGTGACAGTGACTGATTATCTATCTATCATCTATCTATTTTCTTATTTGTAATTTGAGGTTTGTGCTGTTACTGTTTTTCTGCCTTTCAAGTCCCTGCTCTGAGTCCATTCTCAACCTTCCAGGCCTCTATTCCCATACACTGCGTTCTCTCTCTGAGTAGTTTGGTACAGTTTGGGGGTCCTTCTGCTCCTTCCCCTCTATTGCTCTTTAAAGGTCTCCCCTTAACCTCTGCAGAGGCTTTGGTCAGAAACAAATCTGCTGCCTGTGTTATTTCCTTTTCTATTGACAGGGAATGTGGAGTTTGTGCTGCTGCCCATCTTCTGCATTTGTGGTTGTATTGTTCTGCATGTCGGGTTTTGTGTGGAGAGATTTGGATTTAGACTGCTGTCATTTTCCTCAGGCTGCCCAGAAGTCTGCATTGGCTCTGTGTGCAATCAAAGCCAGCCAGAAAGTAACAGAAACCTTGCTGTCAGCTCTAGTGCATATTTCTCTTTTGAAAGGGAAAATTTAAGTTATCAAATTTTCCTTTCTTGAAGAGGGACTCATGTAATTTTATTTCCAAAAGAGTGATAGAAGCATTTTAATATAGTGTTTTGAAATATGGATGTTCAGCAGACAAATAATATTTGGAAATAAACATATAACCCCTATTATTAGCAGAGATTGGAAGGAAATAACTTTATAATTTCTTTTAGGTTTAGGATATGTAGACCTCTTGTGTTAGTATATATTTTATAGCAGTGTCATTAATTTCAGCTCTGTGCCATAAAACAAAATTTCTTAAAGGGGCATTGTTTTAGAATTTACCATATATATACCACTGATACATGTCGCATAATTATAATCTTTCTATGTCACTTGTAAGTATGATTGAATATTTTAACTGGATAATTTATAAGTTTCAATTCTGAACTTCTATTTTATCTTCTAGCTAATTCAAGGTTGTGCTTGGTGGCTTGGAACAATCAATTTGAAACTTCTAACATCTAAAATCTTAGGGGTTTCAGACCACGTAAGTACTTTCTAGTTGAAACATTAAAGTTCCTAAAAACTGTGTAGCTGGATGAAAACTTGAGACAGTCTATTCTTACCACTACATTGTTCAGAGTTTCCCATTTCTTCAAGGCTCCTGAGCTAATTATTGGCAGAGTCAATTATAAAATCCTGCATTTCACTGGTCTCTGCAACCACTAGGAAAAAATGTGTCAGTGATTGCCGACTTAGTCTCCTAAGAAAAAAACTAATACTTGGTTTAGTAGCTATTTGTAATATTTCAGGTAAAATAAAAATAGTCATTTGTTTAATAACTTTTCATTTATTGCATATTATATCTGTCAGTGCTTACTAGAGAAACAGATTTAATGCATGATATACAAATATTTAAGGATTTACAAGACTGGCTAACAGAGTCAGTTGTGGAAGAGTACAAAAGGTCTGTCCATGCACTGGAGATCCGAAGGATCCAGTCACAAGCCTGGAGTTCACTATAGTGTCCCGCATGTGTCCACATCAGGAGGCTGAATGAAGGCTCTACAATGAGAGACTGAAGCCTGCAATGGAAGGCTGAGGGGTCAGTGCAGGAGGCTGAAGAGTCTGTGCTGGAAGCCAGGAGACAATGTCCAAGGTGAAGGTGAAGATTGGAGCTCTTTGGAAGAAACAGAAGCAAGCAAGCCTTCCTTCTTCATTACCCTTTATACCATTCAGGGGACAAGCTGCCCTAGGGTGGCTCTTCTGTCTTCAGTAAATCCCTTCAACTACAGTCAGAGCTATGCTGATATAATTTAGTTGGGTGTTTCTTGCTCAAGTTAACATAATCAGTTAGCTATCACACATATGTTAAAATATGAGTGGTCACTACCCAACTATAAAATACAGGACTCTTAAAAATCTCCATACAGCATGCCTGTTATCCCAAGGCTGGGAATTTATTTCAGTGCAAAGGCCCTGGGGTTCAATTCCCAGAACTGCAAAACAAAGTAAAGGAAAACCAAGTCTCTATATAGTTTTATTTATTTATAATTATGAACTAAAATGAAGATATGATTTGCTATTTGTAATGTTTTTATTCTTATGTAAAAAGAGAATGTTAAAGGTTATTTTTTCGGGGGCTGGGGATTTAGCTCAGTGGTGTTACCGCCTGCCTCAAAAGTGCAAAGTCCCGAGTTCGATCTCCAGTACCAAAAAAAAAAAGTTATTTTTTTCAATTTCGTTTTATTAGTATAAGTTTGCAATATATGAAATTTACATTCATCTTAGGGAGTGGGTACATATACCTAATACATCATGACTCTTCTTTATTCCCCTTCCCTCTCCATCTGCCTTCCTCCCTCTGTCTCTATAACCCCTTTCCCCATATAATTAGTAGTAGTAGTAGTAGCAGTAGTGGTACTAGTATTTTTAGTTCATATTTATGTCACATAATGTTTACATTCATTGTGGGTATTTCCAGGATTTAGCTATTATGAGCTGTGCTGCTATAAACATTGATTTCCATGTATTGCTACAATATGATGTTTTTAGCTCTTTCAGGAAGATACCTAGAAGGGAAATAGCTGAGTCAAATAGAATTTCTAATTTTAGTTCTTGATAAATTTCCATACTAATTTCCATTATGCTTATACTAGTTTACATTCCCACCAGCAATATAGAAGGCTTCCTTTTTCACCACAGCCACGTCAGCATTTTTTATTATTTGATTTTTTGATGATGACCATTCTTTCTGGGCCACCAACACTAAGATGAAATCTAAGTGTTGTTTTAATTTGTATTTTTCTGATGGCCAGCAGTGTTGAACATTTTTTCATATGTTTATTGGCCATTTGTATTTTTATGAAGTGTCTATTCATTTTACTTGTCTCTTTTTTGATGGGATCTTGGGGGAATCTAATTTTTCTTAGTTCTTTATATATTCTAGATATATAAGACAGAGATTCCTCTGTCTAAGGAATAACTAGCAAAATTTTTTTCCCATTCTATGGGTTGTCTCTTCATTCTGCTAGTTGTTTCCTTTGCTGTGAAGAAGCTTTTTAATTTGATATCATCCCATTATTGATCTTTCTGTTACTTCTTGTGCAGTTGGAGTTCTGTTCAGAAAGTCCTTGCCTACACCTATGTTTCAACTGTTTTACCTATTTTATCTTCCAGTAGACTCATTTCTGTTTTAATGTTTAGATCATTGATCCATTTTGTTTCTAATTTAATACATGGTGAGAAATATGAGTTCAGTTTCAATCTCTATAAAGAGCCACTTTTCCCAGCACCATATGTTAAAGAGGCTATCGTTCCCCCACCTTATATTTTTGGCCTCTTTGCCAAAGATCAAGTAGCCAAATGTGTTTGAGGACATTTCTGTATCCTTTATTCTGTTCCACTGATCCATACATTTCTTTTTGTGCCAGTACCATGTCTTTTTTATTACTATTGCTTTGTAATGTAATCTGATGTCAGGTATCCTAATGTCTCTTCCTTTGCTCTTATTGCCCAGGATAGCTTTTGCTATTCACAGTCTTTTCTGGTTCTATATGAATTTTAGGATTGTTTTCCCTAGTTGTGTAAAGAATGCTATTGGTCCCCAGGATCCTAGGGCAGTGAAGCTCAGCCAGTCCCAGCACCTGGAAGGAAGCTCCCTGCCTCCATCCCAGGCTCCTAGGGCAGAAAAACTGAGCCTGCCCCAGCACCCGGAAGGAAGCTCCCCTGCCGCCATCCCAAGCTCCTAGGGCAGAGAAGCTGAGCCAGTCCCAGCACCCGGAAGGAAGCTCCCCTGCTGCCATCCCAAGCTCCTAGGGAAGAGAAGATGAGCCACGTGGGCACCAGAAGCACACCCCCTCCCCCCTCGTGGAAATGAGAAGGCACATAAACAAGCCTCAAAAACAGACTTCTGGATCACCCAGAGCAACCCCAAAGGGAAACAAGATGGAACACTCTGACACTCAACAACCTGGACTCTCTGAACTGGCAACGAAAGAGGATCTAAGAAAAATGAAATCAGAAATAATTACTCAGATAACAGCAAAGATTTTGCTCA